GTTTCCTTGCTCTGTTCACTTAACAGCTTTTTGATCTAGGCATAGTTTTTACATGAAGACAATTAAGTGCTCCAGGAATCCCACTCTTCTCAATGTTAGCCAAAAATTGTTATGATCCACACAGTCAAATGCCTTTGCATAGTAAATAAGGCATAAATAGACATTCTTCTAGTGTTCTTTACATTCAGCCAGTATCCATCTGACCATATTCCTGATGCCACTGCCTCTTCTAAATCCTGCTTGAACTTCTGACAGTTCCTTATCTATGGAATGTTCTAGAAATTTTTTAGTAATAGTAGTATTTGAATGATAGTAGAACAAAGCAGTAGTATTTTGCTTGCATGTGATATTACGAATATTGTTTGATAGTTTCCACATTCTGTTGGATCACCTTTCATGGGAATAGAAACAAACATGGACCTCTCCTAATCCATTGTCCATAGAGCTGTCCTCCAACTACTCTGCCGTATAGTGGTGAGTGCTGTATTTGTTAATCAAAACAAGACAGTTGGTACCCCATCAATTCCTGGGACTTTTTTCTTGCCAGTGCCTTCTGGGCAGCTTCCACTTCCTACATCATTACCATTGGCTACTGCTTATATGGTTGTGGTTGTTACTGTTTTTTTGTTGTGAAGTGCTGTCGAATTGTAGGTGACTCATAGTGACCCTATGAATGAAAGACCTGAAAACTTATATAACTTTCATCCTTTCTCTAGGTTCATGGGGTTTCCGGTGGCAAGCTATTTCGGAAGTGGATATCACTCCTGCTTCCAAGCTTGTTTAATTAGGGAGCTCTACTAAACACTGTCCACTATGGGTAACCATTATCACATTTGACACATCAGTGTCACAGTGTTCAGCGTTACAGCAACCACGAGTTACTCTGTACAGCAAATGGACAGACCAGTGCTATACGGCCTAGAAGAATGTTTGACAAAAGTGTCCCTCAGGCCTTCCTAATATTAAGAGCCAAAGCATGATTCACACTCCATGAGCTCCATCATTCCAAATTCTTCCATAATTATGCATTCTCATCAGTTCTCACTACCCAAAACGCCCACCTGGGAGAATTCTGCTGTTTCTTAAATCTTCTCCTATTCTGATGCCACATGTTTCTTCATAGAGTCTAACTTCTTGAATGATTTGTTCACCATGATAGACTGAGCACATGTGAGGGAAGGATACATATATAAACAGAAGATAAACAAAGGCCTGAAGCCTTTCCAGAATTATCATCATTTCTCCAAGTTTATAGACTTTTGAGAGGCATGTAGTTTAGAAAGTGGATGCCAGTCCTGCTTCCAAACCTGAATCAATTCAGGAGCTCCAACAAACACTGCACATGATGAATAACCATTTATGGTGTTTGATACACTATGGCCTAGCTGTCCATCATCGCAGCAACTCTATGTTACTCCTGTAGAGCAAATAGACAGACCTCTACTGTACCACTAGAAAGAGTGTTCATCCAAGATCAATTATCATATTACAGTATTTTAAAATTCTGGCATACCCAAATGCTGGTGGACTCTGGGCCAGAGACACCCAGTTCATCTGGCAAGTCTCATCTGCTGACACTCACCTGGAACAAAAAGAAAGCCACAGAAGTCCAAGCACTCTATACGTATCCCTCCTCAAGAGGCAAGAGGCCATCATAAAATCCAGCTTAAACCAATTCACAACACACTAGCCCTCATTTCTTGAAATTTTTCAATGTCAGTCAGTTCCTTTGGTGCAGCAGCTCTGTCACTGAGCATAGGATAATTTATAGAAATGAAAAACTAAAGAACACATAAAAATTTTATGTATTTTAAATAATATAGACAAATACATATATTTTTAAAAGACACACTAGCTATGGATACTGATGTGAATTAACTGTAGAGATAGAGATATATAGACAGGTAGAACCATCTATAAATAAGAAAGAAATTGTTGTGGACTATGATGAGTAAAAATTCATTCAAGCCCATGTGTTTACGGAAGATACACACAAAAGAGATTTCTGTTTATTTGTCAATACGTATCATTTCTATGTGGGGGGAGGGACTGAGAAAGAAAAGGGTAGTGTATCTAAACTGAAAGAAAGCCAATATAAAAACTTAACACATAAGCCTCTTAGATTTTCTAAGATTTATTATCCTTACTTCTTTTTCCCACTATGTAATTGTTGATTTTGAACCATGTCGTTTTTTCTAACCTCTTCCTGTACACACTACTTTCTCAGCTAGGAATTCGCTAATCTGCTCTTCTCACCTTGTCATCTAAGTAATGTTCTAGTCATATTTTATGACTCAACTCTAACCAGCTGAATTCTATCATATTGAGGACATTAATTCCAGAACTATTACCTTACTGTACTAAAATTATCTTCTTATGTGTCTCTACTTTGAAAGTCATTCAGGACAGGAATATATTTTATGAAGCTTCTAGTTTCACTCTGGCTAAATCTATAGGCTTTACTTAATTCCCACTGCTGTAATCTTAGTTCAATCTGCAATATTTTAATATCCTTCAGTATTGCTTAACATGTAGCCAGTAGATACATGCAGGCCAGAGAAATATTTGCTCGTATTTAGAGCTCTGGTGGCCGTTCTATCCTGTGCCAACCTAGCCATCTCAAATGCACTTATTCCCACCGCTCCAGTCACAGAATCAATCCATCTCATGAAAGGTCTTCCTCTCCTTCGCTTCCCCTTCACTCTGCCAAACATGATGTCCTTCTCCAAGGACTAGTCCCTCCTTGCAACATGCCCAAAATATGTCAGACAGAGCTTCAGAATCCTTGACTCCAAGGAGCATTCTGGTTTCACCTTCTCCAGGACAAACCTGTTTGTTCTCCTAGCAGTCCATGGTATATTCAACACTCTTCTCCAGCATGACAGCTCAAAGTCATCAATTTTCTTTCTATCATCTCTATTCACTGTCCAACTCTCTGATGCATAGCATGTAATTGCAAAGACTATAGCCTGGATAAGGTGCACCTTAGCCTCCAGCCTGATGTCGTTGCTCTTCAGTACTCTTAAGAGGTCCCTCACAATTGACTATATAGTAGACTACCTTAGTAAAAATTGTTAAGAATTTTTAAAAATGTATCAGCATAATGCTAAAATGTAGATATTTTCTGCACATGAAGTATTACACAAATGCATTTCCAGAAGTTCATTCTTTTCTAATTAACATTTTCCACTGAGTTTTATGAATCAGAATACAATCTCAAATATCAACGTGGTCTGGCAAAATCTGACTTCCACCCATCTCACAAACCTCTATTCATGCCTTTGCCTCAATCATTCCTGGTCATTATTCCCTAGACACAGTGGCTTTCTTCCAGTTTTGAGTCCATCCCATGCTCTGCCTCACAGTTTTGCTCCACTCTGCTGTCAACTCTCCTCCAGCTCACTCTTTTCTTCTAAAGCTACCTTTTAGACCTATTTGCTCACTTTAATTTCCCACCTTAGCTAATTTTACATATCACATATTAATTTTCATTTTCTTTTCTCACAATACCGTAAATGTTTCCTTCAGAGATGCATCACAATTAGCAACTAAGCACTGAATTTGTTGTGTATGAATTCCTCTAACTTGGCTGTGACTTTCAGGAGATCCTTCCTGTCTCTTTTCTCCTTATTGCTGATTAGTGCAAGATCAATGTCTGGTGGTACTCAATCAAATCAATCTTTGATCATTGCCATTGTTGAATGTATACCTAAATATTTGTTAGACTAATTATTTGTAAAGGCAAAAACCTGGCATAAAAGATAATATTGTGGAAATTGCTAAAATAATACACATTTTCAAAACATACATGGTATCTGATTTGGAAATAAGGACACTGAATCTCTAGCTTAAGAGAATTGTATTTTGACTGTCATTTCTAAACACCATTGCTTATTTATATTAGTTTAACTAACCAAGTCAAAATCAAATACACTCTCATTGACCCAATTCAAACTCATAGTGACACATAGGATAGAGTGTAATTGCATTATATGGTCTGCTGGTCGTAAATATTGATAAAAGTACACTTGCACATATTTTTCCTATGAAGCAACTAGTAGGTTTTAATAATTGGTCAAGAACTTAAATCACTGTGTTAAAGGGGTGCAATAAATCTGTATTTCTCTCCAGGACATTTGACATGGTAAGAGATAGAAGAGTTTTGCTGCTAAGGGGTACAGATGTTGACATTTTTAAAAAATTATTTACAGAGTGTTTTTAAATCAATAGCTACAGTCATTTTCCCATAATTCGAGAAAGAAAGTGAATATCACCCTCTTCCTTATGAATTATTTCTATTTATCCACTCAAACTTGCACCTTCACAATTACTCTATTTGAAGTCCTTTTTTCCTCTTACTAGTTTAGAAAGTTTCAGACTGACATATTGAAGGGGAGAAAAGCCAAAGCAAAAATATGTATGAAGACTCTATTTTATATTATTTAGGCAAGGAAAGTACTGGCTTTGTTTTGGGTTTCTGTCCTGATATTAACGGTGCTGCTATATTACATAGGATCTGAGCCTATGGGTGCATAGGCCCCTTAATATAATGAGCAAGATATTTAATGAATCCGAAGATTTTTTTTTTATGAGATTCTCTAAGAGATTGTGAGTCCTTGAGAGTCCTTGTGTCAATATATTTTACAAGGAAGGAGGGTGATTTAAATAATCTTTATGTTGAGGGAGTGCTCAAAAATGTTCCAAAGCAGCATTCATACCCCACAGACCAGAACATTTCTAGCTATGCTAGAATAAGCAAGAACGCTGTGTCTAAACAAAAGCACTTTAACAATCCATAGAAGTTACTTTTTGCAATTTCAGTAGAAGTGTATTCATTTAAAAAGAAGTAATCTTTAAAAATAAAGGACAATACACAGAGAGAGAGTGAAAGAAAGAGGGAGGAAGGGAAGGAGGGTGAAAGGGAGGGAGGAGAGACAGAGAGATTGTTGTATCTTGTTATTATAACTGAGGTAATGCTGACAGGCATTTCCAAAGCCTACCTTCTGGATACCAAGACAATGTATGAGGAGACCATTCTTCCTCTTCCCGGCAAAAGGACTTGTAATCAGGACAGCAATCAGAATTTTCCCTTTCACAGAATTTATCACAGTAACACAGTGTATTCACCTCATAGAATTGAGTGACACAGCCGTCATCTCTGTCTTTACAACAACCAAAATGCCTACAGTATTGCCCTTTGAAAATGGCTCTTTTGAATCGAGTACCTTCCAAAGTGGTGTGATTCCTAGTCAAATATGCTCCTGGATTCACTTGTCTTTGAGATAAATACTGCTTCTCCATCCAAATTTCTGTGGTAAGACAAGAAAAGATTAAGATCCTATATCCAGTCCACATTGTCTACAGGTCAAGTAATCTCCCACTCTTTGTGATGTCCACAATTCTTGGCCTCAGGGGCTTCTCCTCAGAGCCTAAAGTCTAATCATCTAGGCAAATCAGCCTGAATTCAGGAACTAATCTTTTACTTGAACTGAGTAAGCTTCTTCAAGTTATATATTAACCAAGGACTTTAATGTTTGCCCTAGGTAATATAAGTAACTGAAAGAGATCATTATTATTTTGTTTGGTGTTAAAAATCTGTTTCATGAAATGTATAAAAAAAATCACAATTATAAAGTTAGTTGTACATTAAATTTTACTTTAAATATGACCTGTGCCGCCCCAAAATATGCATATCTATTTTTTAAATGCCTTTTATAATATTATTGTTGTTACTGTGTACCACTGGATCAGAACAGACTCAAAGCTTTAGTGAGTTTTCAAAGGTTCTAAGTCATGTGGGAAGAGATTGCTAAACTTTCTTCCATGGAACAGCCAGTGGATTAGAACCACGTGCCTTTGGGTGGACAGTGTAGCTCTTTATCACTATGCCAACAGAGCTCCAACAATGACTGCAGCAATGGGCTCAAGTATGTCAGAGGTTAAAACAGAAAAAGGCAGGGTTCAGAACTGTTGTTCGTAGGGTCACTATGAGTGGTACTTGACCTGACAGCACCTAATAACAACATTCTGAAATTTGACGGGAAGGAATCTCCCTGAAATGGCCCAAATTATGGTTGAAAAGATGCAGAAAACCCAAAAATAAAAAATGGAATTAGTCATTCAAACTACTTGTCACTAAAACCCAATTATTCTTAAGGTTTCCTGCTAAGATCTGTCATATCAGTAACAGTAGGTCTAAATCATGCCTAGTCACATACTAGGGTGATTTCCAATCTGTATTTATTTACTTAGTTTATTTTAAAGCTTAGTGGTGCCTTATTCAGCTCAAAATTCCCTGAGGGTGACCTTAGTCCCTTCTTGGCATCAGTGTAGGAAACTGCAATATCTGGATTTCAGTTTATGATCAAGAAAACCAGTAGTCAGGAGCTTGCAGGGGTGAAGGAGTCGTGATGGAAACTCAAAGGTCAGTACTTCTTGCGTGTTTCTGTAGAGCTATGCATTTACAGTGGGTTTTGTTATGAAGTATTTATTCATTAACTCTAATAACTCCCTTTTGATAATGGGTAAGTAACGAGCAGATGATGATTCAGCAAGAAGGCTAGGTGACTTAGTGGAAAGGGCCAGTCTTGGCAATCAGAAAACCTGGACTCTGGCCCCCAAACTACTGTTTAATTGGCTCAGTGACCTTGGGTTCACCACTTACTTCTATGTGGTTCTCAGTTATTTTCTTATAAAACAAGGATCTGACACTCCAAGGATAATTTATAATGGCAATTTTTCAAGTTGTATACCATCTTCGTTGAATAATTTTTTCAAATCACTCTTATACATCATTCTACCACTATCTTCTGGTATCTTCTTCTCAGGCTATAGCCTAGTACAGTTTGTTCTTCCTTTCTTTTTTTTTCTGCCTCTCTGTTCCTCTATCTATATGTGCATCACTCACATATTGTTTTTCCATAATCTTCCAGCCTCTCCAGTCTCCAGTTCAACAACTTCCTCCTCTTCCTTCACATGTATTGATGACTAACTACACAAAATATGGTCTACTTTCCTACCTCACAATAAATGGTTGCTGTTGCTAGGTGCTGTCGAGTACAACTCTTAGTGACCCTGTGAACAAAAGATCTGAACCCTCTTCTATCCTGTGCCATCTTCATATTTTCTGACACACAAGAGCCCATTGAGACACAATATAATGAAATAATAACACATATTGTTTAGCAACTTACTTACAATTAGTATTCATGATCAGTAATAAGTGCACTATCCATTTAAGAAATCTTCCTTTCGTTGCCATCAAGGATTTCATTCGTTCCTGCTTTTTATTTTCTATTTTTTGTAAGACTCTCAATATCTGCTGAGTCTTGGATTTCCTTCATTCTATTCTCATAAGTTATTTGAAGTATTATTCCACCAATATTGTGAACTCTTTCCCTCCTTAATTCCCCCTAATTTTAGTAATATCTACCATCTCACCAATGAGCAATATTATTGTCAAGTTATGTTGATTTGATTTCTTTCTCTCATTTTCTTGGTATTATTTTGTATTTAAGGATTTCTGGTGGTGCAGTAATTAAATGCTTGATTGCTGACCTAAAGATCAGTGCTTTGAACCCAGCAGTGGCTCCACAGGAGGGAGATGAGGTACTCTATTTTTGTAAAGGTTGAAGTTACAGAAATTCTATTGGGCATTTCTGCTCTGTTCTGTAGGGTCACTATGAGTCAGAACATTCTGAACTGCAGTGAGTTGGATGTTGTTTACTCTAGTCTCAGTCTGCTCTCATTTAATCTCTTAACTAGTCTCTCTGTATTCAATCTTGCCTAGCACCAATCTCATAAACTGGTACCATGATGAAAGTAAACGTTAATAAAGAGACAAGTTGGGTGAAGGGAAAGGCAATATATAATATAAAGAGATAAGTTGGGTGAAGGGAAAGGCAAATATAATAAGAGTTTGATTAGACATTGTAATAAATTAGTTATATTAATCAATTATAATTAGCATTATAAAGCAAAATATCTATAAATGATTGACAAAATAATATTATTTGTAAACTTTCACTCAAATAAAATTAATTAATTAAAATCTGATAATGTCACCTCCTTATTCGTTTATTACTTCCTTAGAGATTTGGCTGTGTTGGAGTCTGGAGCCTAGAGATTAATTAGAGAAATACAATTCCATCCTCATGGAATTATGTTGCTTTTATGTGCTGTCAAGTACAACTCATAGTGACCCTGTGTAAAACAGATTTGAGCCCTGTCCTATTCTACGCCATTGCTAACACATATGAGACCATTGCTGCAGATATTCTATCAACCCATCTCGTTGAGGGTCATCCTCTCCTTCACTGACCCTCCACCTTTACAAGCATGATGTTTCTTTCCAAGGAATAATGTCTCCTAATAATATATCCAAAGTAAATGGGATGAAACTTTACCTCCATGCCTCCAAAAAATGCTCTGGTAGTACTTTCTCCAAGACACATCTGTTTGTTCTGTTGCCAGCCCATGGGCTAATCAGTGCTCTTTTCCAAACCAACAATTCAAATGCATTCATTCTTCTCTTGTCCTTCTTATTCATTGTCCATATCTCAGATGTATTGCAGGTGATTGGGCAGATGATAGCTTGCACTTTAGTCTTTAAACTGATACCATTACTCTTCAGGATTTTTGAAAGGTCCCTGAAAGCAGACTTCCCCAATACTATATGTCTCTTGATCTCCTAATCACTGGTAATAACGATGTTAACTGTGGATCCAAGCAAGATGTAATAATCTACAATTTCAGTCTTTTCATCATCTATCATGATATTTATGTAATGGCCTGAGTGTTGAAATTTTGTTTGTTGATTGATGTTGAGTTGTAATCCATGTTGATGACTACAGTCTTTGATCTGTAGAAAGCATGTGAGTTTGTCCTCACTTTCTGCAAGAAAAGTTGTGTCATCTGCATAATGCAGGTGGAGGGGGGTTTGGTTTGTTGTTTTTTTTGTTTGTTTGTTTTTAATTGGTTTTCTTATGTTTTACAAAATTAATCACCATTGGACTTTGCCCATCATTGCCCTGGCTTTTTACCCACATCCTTCCCATTTCCTTCCTCCACCCCTACACCCACAAAATTGTGGGTTAATTAATGATTCTTCTTCCAATTCTGAAGTCATGTCCTTCTTCATAAATTTCAGTTTCTCTAGTGATTTGCTAAGCATACCTATTGAATAGGTATGGGGAAAGGATACAACTCTGAAGCACCATTTCCCAAGTTTTAAACCATTCAGTGCTCCCTTGCTATGTTTAGACATAGTTTCTTTCATATAAACATAATTTTTCTGGAATCTCCATTCTTCTCAATAGTAGCTGCAGCTTGGAGTAGTCTACACAATTGACTCTCTTCGCATAGGCAATAAAGCGCAAATAGACATTCTTCTGGTACTTTTTGCTTTCAGTTGAGTTCCATCTGATATAAGCAATAATATTCCTGGTGCATGGCCTTTTCTAAACCCAGCCTGAGCTTCTGACAGTCCTCTGTCAATGTACTATTTTAGCTGGTTTTGGACAATCTTCAGAAATATTTTGCTTACATGTGACAATGATATTGCTTGATAATTTCTGCATTCTGTTGGATCTCCTTTCTTGGCAATGGGAATAAATATGATTCTTCTAGTCAGTTGGACAAGTAGCTGTCTTTCAATTTTCTGACACAGACTGCTGAGCATGTACAAGGCTGTATCTTTTATTTGGAACATCTCATTCATTATCTCATCAATTCCAGGGCTCTTAGTTTTTTGCCAATGCCTTCAATGCAGTTTGAACTTCTTACTTTATCACTATTGGCTTTTGATTTTGGGATACTTCCTGAAATATTTAAGTGTTGGCTAAATTTTTTGGTATAGTAACTCTTTATTCCCTCCATCTTCTTTTGATGCTCCCTGGATTATTCAAGAGTTTGCCTATGGTATATTTCAGTATTACAACTCAGTACTTGGATTGTTTTTCAATTCTTTCCGTTTGAAAAATGCTGAGTTAGCTCTTTTTTATTCTCCAACTCTGGCTCTTTGCACAATCCATTATAATATTTTTCTTTGTCTTCTTGAACTGCCCTTAAAAATCTCTGTTCATCCCTTAACTTTGGCATCTCTTCCCTTTGTTTTGGCTTCTCTATGTTCTTGTGCAAATTTATAAGCCAATACTTAAACTCACCACAAATTCACTCCTGAATCAGTGCTATTTTCTTGAAGCCTTTATAAAAATGCCCAAGAAGAGTTGATGATTTATTTTTCTACTTATCACAAAATACTAATTCCACTGTTTTATTTTACTGCAAAGACCAATACTTTTTTACATGAAACTTAACAAATATTTAATGACAACTATGATTTCATCTTTTTATTACTGCTCTTTTTAGAGCTAGACAATCCAAACAGCTTTTTATCTATTTTCATGTTGCATGGTTTCCAACCTAGAGATTTTCAAAATGAGATGTAGTTTGTAGGAAGATTCATTGAGAATGAGAAGAAGTGAATTTTTGTCACCCAAAA